GGGAGCCAGGAGGGCCCCGGCTGCGCCCCAGGCAGCGACTCCACCGACTGTGCTAATTACGGACCTGGGCGGGGGCCTCGGCTTTCTCTCTCCGCTTCCCTCTGCGCCCTTCTTGGCCCCGTTTGATTTTCCAAGCCAAACTGGGGGCTGAGACTTCCAAGGATCGGGACCTGGCGTGGGGCCGGTGGAGAAGGGCTGAGGGCGGGGAGCGTGGGCTCGGTCTGATCGCGGGTGTAGAAAGCTCGGCCTCCGGGCAGAGCTCGGGGACAGTCGCATTCCTGTTCTGGAGGCGCCATGGGCCTCGCAGGACTCCCCAAGCGAGGGTGGAGGGTTGAGTGACATGAGTGACAGTGTGCCAAGATGTGGACCGGGAAAGGAAAGGCGCCAATGTCGCGGTGGCCGCGTGAAGAGGCGTTGGTGAGGACTGGGCCTAACTTGAGTTTGGGAGGAAGAAGGCTGGGCTCCAAGGGGAGGCGGGATTTTGGGGCATAGGTCTGGGTGTTCAAGGTATGCGCTTCAGAGTGCCAACGTATTGAAAATGCATAGGGGAAAATCACTAACCAGAAATAAAAGTGGTGGGGCCAGCAGAGAGCATAATGGTTAGGTCGCTGGACTCCCACATGGCTGACTGTAGTTCGAGTCCCAGACACGGCCGCTTCAAATTCATACCATATAAAAGTATGTGCCCAAAAATCCCCAGAGAAGGGATTGTGGCATGTCTACCCCCCACTCCCTGCGCTTGGACGTGATTTCTTGCTTTCTGTCTCTTTCTGTCTCTCTGGAGAGCATACACACCCACAGCAAAAATCTCTCTCTAAAAAAGAAAAAAAAAAACTGGGATTTTTTTTTGGGGTGGGGTGGGGTGGTGGTCTATTCAAGTCTTTTGCCATACGGACTTTTTTTTTTTTTTTTTAACATGGTTATATGTTAAAACATGCACTATACACAGTGTTATGCTGAACATTGTATACATGGGGATTTCAAAAACTCATGAGAAAATGGAATTAAAATATGAGTTTATTTTGATACAAAAATTTGAAATCTGTGCATAGTTTTTCATTTTCCACGAACTCTTGAAGACGCCTCCTCCATTGTGTTTAGATTTGGAAACATGGTTTTTCATTATTAAAAGTACTTATCTTTGTAAACCTAGGAAAATAAGGAAATGTGTGAAAAAATTTAAGAGGTACCCAGATTTTGCATTTTCTTAACATCTTTTTTTTTTTGGTACATGCTTAATTTAGTAGAGATCATACATACTTTATTAATGCCTAAACATTATCAATATGGAAACATTGGTAGAAGATTCTGTGAAAAAGGTTTCTTACTCTCAAGGTGGAAAACATCCAAGGTTTCTGAGTGGTTCATGGAGCCTCTGCCCAGTTACCCAAAATCTTAAACTCTGAGAGCTTGGGAGGGGTCAAGACTGCATTCCGAAGCCCCTCCCCAAAAGTCCTACTCCAAATTATTCTAGTGCTCCATTTCCCATCATCTCCTTTCCTTTGATTATTCTGGGAGTTCGAGAGCTGTGAAATACCTCTTTGCAACCACCTACTCAAAAAAATCTATGCAGACATGACTTTGTAGCTAATCTCAGTCTTTTGTGGTGTCAACATTAATTTAATTAATTTTAACACCTGTTACAAAGAATCAAAACTCAAGTCCCCATTTGAGTTTTCCTCTGAAACATTAAGTGCAAAAAGAATTGTAGCAATGTCTACAGGATTTTGAGGAAAAGATGCTTGTGAACCAAGGACTTCGGTTCCGCATCAAATTATCTTTCACATTTAAAGCTAACAGAAAGACATTTTCATTAAAGAAGAAAATATGCCACCTGGTACATTTCTTGGAGGAGAAAAAAAAAAAAAAACCCTTAAAGGGGATTTCTATTTCTGGCTGTGAAGGAGTAGTTTGTATCAGAATAACCCTCATGTTGAAGAAATGAGAAAGTTGAATAAAATAACAAGTAGTCTGAGAACACCAAAGAGCAATTAAGGTTTCTAAAGTCAAAGGGCCAAGATATTAGGGAGGAGAAAGATGTATGAAGAGAGTATGAGAGATGGTTTACCGCGGTTCGAGTCCCGGACCCGGTGGCTTAAAACTCATGCCGGGCGCGTGTGTGTGCGTGCCCAAGATCCTGAGAGGAGAATGGAGGAGAAGGGATTGCAGCGTGGCCATCCCCCCTGGGGGGTGACTTCTTGCTTTCTGTCTTTCTGGCAAGCACATGCGCCCTATAGCAAAAACTTCAAAAAAGAAAGAAAAGAAAGAAAATTCCTTTCTTTACGATCGTTCTTGTCCTCTGGGAACAGTAGCTGATGCAGGTCCTGCTGTGGGATTTGGAACTCAAACAGAAAGTGGCAGCTCATTGCTTGCCACAGTTGGCAAAAAACTGGAGTTCAAGATCCAAGGTTGCCAGGACTTATGGGCCGTAAATGCAGAGAAGAGCGAAGAGCGAGCTAAAGAGAGTGGAAACTGCATGTTGTTTCTCTTCAAAGCATTTCTCGATTTCTAAGTTGGGCATGTGAAGAGTGAGATGCCATGACACCAAACAAAAGCAGCTGCTAGGAGGCTCCAGCACTGTCTTCCTGGTGCTGGGTAGACACGTCTTGCAGTTCAGGCCACCGAGGAGGAGGAGTCCTGCAAACATCTCAGATTAGCGGAGACCCTGAAGATCAAGCCATAGCAGAAGGGCAAAGTCAGGAGACGAGGCCTCACATCAGTGACGCAGGCTCAAATGGCCTTACTACCTACTGGGGTGCACATATACTCAATATATTTGCAAAGCAAATAAAGCCTTTTTTTTGCTATAGGGCGTGTACGCTCGCCAGAAAGACAGAGAGAGACAGAGACAGAAAGTGAGAAATCATCCCCCGGGGGGATGGTCACGCCACAATTCCTTCTCCTCCATTCTCCTCTCGGGATCTTGGCACATATGCACATGCGCCCGGCGTGAGTTTAAGCCACTGGGTCTGGGACTCGAACCGTAGTCGACTACATGGGAATCTAGCAACATACCCATTATGCCAACTGCTGGCCTTTCTGGAGGAAGAAAACACATTCCAACTTTTTTTTTTTTTTTGAGAGATTTTTGCTATAGGGTGCATGCACTTGCTGGAGAGACAGAGAGACGAGACAGAAAGCGAGACATCACCCTCTAGGGGGAATAACCACACTGTCATCCCTTCTTCTCCATTCTCCTCAGGATTTGGGCATGCATGCACACACACACACACACACACACACACACACACACACACACACACAGCTTGAGTTTCAAGCTGCTGGGTCCAGGCCTCGATTTGCAGATGGCCATGTGGGAGTCCAGTGCCTTAACCACCATGCCACTTGCTGGTCCAGGCCCACACGTTTTGCATTCAATCCATGGTTACCAGGGAAGGAATTTAAAAGGGAGGAGACATTGGCTGGCAAGATGAGCAAAGGTGAGTTCCTGCTGTGTCCGAGAACTCGTCTGGAGCCAGACATGGTCCCTGTGGGAGGGAGAGCTGTCCTGAAGCCATTTTAAGACCTTAGTGCAAGGGTGGGTGGGGGAAGCAATGGACTCCAGCCATGATGGTCTCCAAGGGGAGCTGCTGGTAGACCAGAGGCTGAAGAGGAACAGCCAGTGCCATTGGGAAAAAGGCCATCATCCTCTTTGGAAGATAGGTGGAAGACCAGCAGTTGGCATAATGGCTATGTTGATGGACTCCCATGTGGTTGACCGCAGTTCGAGTCCCAGACCCGGTGGTTTAAAACTCACGCCAGGGCATGTATATGTGTTCCCAAGATCCCAAGAGGAGAATGGAGGAGAAGGGATTGCGGCGTGGCCATCCTCCCTGGGGGATGACTTCTCACTTTCTGTCTCTCTGTCTCTCTGTCTCTCTCAGTCTTTCTGGTGAGTGCATGCACCCTATAGCAAAAACTTCTCCAAAAAAGAAAAAAGAAAAAGACAAGTGGGCAGTTTCTTACAAAACCAAACATATTCCTTTTTTAAAAATAAATTTTACTTAAAAAAATTTTTTTTTTATATATTCAATCACTATACACCACTTAGATTGTAAAGTGAATTTTCCAACACAAATGCAGTTCACAGCAGTCCAGTTGGGGATCCCATACGCATTGTCATCAACAGCTAAAAATCCATTTCTGTGTCCCATAAATGTCTTGCCTCTCTATTTTTCTCCTTAATGTCTTTATTCAGAGACTTTCCTTCTCCCACTCTCTTCCCACACTGTATCCAGTATCCTTAACCATTTTCCATGTTTCTATAGCCTCTGATCTTTCGGTTTCAGCCATAAAGTGTGGACATAGTCTAACTATACGATTCTACATCACATTCCTTGATATTTACCTGAAAGAGGCGAGAACTTATCCACACACAGATGCTTATAGCATCCTGAATCGTAACTGCTAAAATTTGGAAGCAATCAAAATGTCCTTGAGTTGGTGAATGGATACAAAATCTGGGCTATAGTCAGACAAAGGAATATTACTGAGCACTGAAAAATGAGTGTTAAAAGCTTTTCACGTCATGAAGAGACATGCAGGAAATTTAAGTACATATTGTAAAGTAAAAGAAGCCAGTCTGGAAAGGCTTCTTCATACTTACCCTACGATTCCAATGATATGGCATTCTGGAAAAGGTGAAACTATGGGGACAGGAAAAAGAGCAGTGGTTTCTGGAAGTTTGAAGGGATTGAGAGATAAGCAGGTAAAGCAGTGAGGGTTTTTAGGGCAGTGAAACTGCTCGGCATGATGTTACAAGAGTGGACACATAACATTATGTATTTCTCAAAACCCATGGGATAGACAATGCTAAAGTGAAGTCTGCAGACTTTGGGTTAGACTGATGTGTCAAAGTAGGCTCACAGATGGTTACAAATGTACCACGCTAGCAGAGGATGTTGAAATGGAGGGTGGTGGTGGAGACGATACATACGTTGGCCACATCCTTATCTTCCTGAACTTAAAATTATGTCTGTATCTTCTCAATTTTTTTCTTAAAGGTTATTTATTTATCTCTTCTGAGAAAGAGAAAGAGAGGGAGGAAGAGACAGTTGCCTTCAACAGGGCCATGATCCAACCTCAGTCTCAGTCAGTCTGGCTCATGGACCAGATAGGTGTGCCTGGCATACTCAGGGGGGGTCCTGGAACGTGGACCCAGACTCTTTCCTATGTGGGTCCAGTTATGTTAGCACTGCGCCACTGCCTGACCCATTTGCTGTGAACTAAAAGCTAGAACAAAACAAATCTTTATATATAATATATTTATATACATACACGTATGTAGAAGACCTCATCCATCTCTGTGACTTGCAGATAAAAAAATCTAACAGGAGAATCTCTGAAGTGCCCACCAAGTGTCTAAGAGAAAGAAGCAGCCAACCAACCATACTTCTGGCATAAAGATGGCCTTGCTGCGGTGTGATTCCTTTTCCTAATCCTGTCTCCCCTGGTCCTGATGGAGGAAGGATGACAGGCTGCAGATGGCAAGCTACGGTAGGAAGGGAAGGCTGAGAGGAAAGGAGGAAAAGAGAACAATACCCAGATTTCCCCCACAGGTGGCTGGAGGAGAGGAGATCTGATATTAAACCATAGAGCTTTGACTATTGTCAGGGACTGGATAATTTAGTTTCTGAATTGAGTCTGTGCTTGCAACTTAAAGGAGAGTAGGACCCAAGAGTGAGCTAAAATACCATTGCAGTGACCATCGAAGGCCTCCAGGCAGTTGAAGAAACAAACACGAAGAATCCCTGGAGGAAAGCATTTCTCTGCAATCTTCTCTGAATTCTCATGTTTTAAATTCACCTGTACATGAACTCAAAAATGACAAACTCTCAAGAGAGCAAGTCCTAGCTGGAGGGAATTAGGAGAAGTAAGCAGGTTTAGACCATCAATGACTTTAGACTTTCACCCTCTTAGAGACAGGATATAAACTATGAAAAAAAATTTTTTTGTTGGACAGGTTTTTTCTATAGGGCGTGTGCGCTCGCCAGAAGGACAGAGAGAGACAGAGAGACAGAAAGCAAGAAATCACCCGCCAGGGGGGATGGCCACACCGCAATCCCTTCTCCTCCATTCTCCTCTCGGGATCTTGAGCACGCACACACACGTGTCCGGTGTGAATTTTAGGCCACCAGGTCCGGGAAGCGAACCGCGGTCAACTACATGGGAATGCAGTGACATAGCCATTATGCTAACTGCTGGTCCCAAGGAGCATGTATATTTTAAAACCATATATTATGTACAAATGAAAAGATAATTCATGAAGTAGAGGAAAATGCCTGAAGATAATACCACATAGAACAAGGAGCAGAAAACCTGGAAGGCAGGTACATAGCCTTTAGAATATGAAATGAAAAGGCCTGATGTATGTCTACTCAGAGTTCAAATGAGAGATTAGAAAGGATGGGGAGGGAGATGTTTGGAGAAAGGGTGTCTACAAATTTTCCCGATGGTAAAAGAAATTCTTTCATGGGTATAGGAAAAACAAGCAGGGTAGGTAAAATAGAGTCCGTACAGTAGGTCACTGATACATGTAGTATAAGTGACAAAAAAAAAAAAAGACCTTAAAATGATCTAAAAAAAAGAGAAATCAATTACAAAAGAAAAAAAACGATTAATGTCAGAATCCTCATCAGCAATAACGAAAAGCCAGGGGCTTAAAAAAAAAAATAAAATCTTCTGAATGACATGAGAAAATAACTAAAATTAGAGTCAAAAATTATGTCTGGAAATGAGAAAAATAATATAAATTTTTGGGAACCAGCAGTTAGCGTAATGGCTATGTTGCTGGCCTCCCACATAGTCGACCGCGGTTCACGTCCCGGACCCGGTGGCTTAAAACTCATGCCGGGTGCGTGTGCGTGCGTGCCCAAGATCCCGAGAGGAGAATGGAGGAGAAGGGATTGCGGCGTGACCATCCCCTCTGGGGGGGTGATTTCTCGCTTTCTGTCTCTGTGTCTCTCTCTGTCTGTCTGGCAAGCGCACACGTCCTATAGCAAAAAACTCTCAAAAAAAAAAAAAACAACACACACACACAGAGGTTAACTATGAAGTGTTAAAAGATTCAATTTACTAGAAGTACGTAAAATTCTGAGAACCAGCAGTTAGCGTAATGGCTATGTTGCTGGCCTCCCACATAGTCGACCGCGGTTCACGTCCCGGACCCGGTGGCTTAAAACTCATGCCGGGTGCGTGTGCGTGCGTGCCCAAGATCCCGAGAGGAGAATGGAGGAGAAGGGATTGCGGCGTGACCATCCCCTCTGCGGGGGTGATTTCTCACTTTCTGTCTCTGTGTCTCTGTCTGTCTAGCGAGCGCACGCGCCCTATAGCAAAAACCTCTCCAAAAAAAAAAAAAAGAAGTATGTAAAATTCTAAATTTATATTCACCTAATCAAAGGATACAAAATATTGAAAGTAAAAATCCACAAAAGGCTAAGGAGAAATAGATAAACTTTTCATTGTTATTTAGTATTTGATTGGTTAAAAAGACAGAAACGAGGACAGAGAAGGTGTGAGAATATGACAAACAATTTGACTTAAACTGTGTACATTGAGCTTTGTACTTAATCATGCTAGTAACTGAAGAACACATCGTGTTATTAAGAGCACGTGGTAGCATTAAAAAACATTGATGTTTACTAATCCTGAAAGGAAGCCTAGAAA